CTATCTATCTATCTATCTATCTATCTATCTATCTATCTATCTATCTACCTGTCTGTCTATCTATCTGTCTGTCTATCTATCTATCTGGAATATACATTTAGTAATCACTAATACAAATTCTGAAATGAAAACAAACACATGTGTTTGGGTCATATATGTGTGTGTGTATGTATGTGTGTGTGTACTACAAACACACACTTACATGAGAACAATTAATTAAATTAATTAGAATGGCACACGGGGTGTAGTCCAGCTAGTCCAACAATAGCTGTCTGCCAATGGAAAGTCCAGGAATGCAGTAGTTGTTCATTCCGCTAGGCTGGGTGTCCTGGCTGGTCTTTAGTATATGGCAGAATCCTGAAAACGTAGGCTCTAATGCCAGTGAAGGATTGCACTGGCCAGCGAGGGTGAGGGTAATCGGGCAAAGAACAAAAGCTGCTTTCTCCCATGTTCCTTATATAAAATGCCACAAGAAGATGCAGTGCTGGCTACAGGGGAGTCTAGTTGCTTCAAATGATTTCACTAAGAAAAATTCCTCATTGGTATACGCAGCCTTTCCGGCTCTAGTTGAGTCCAGATGTAGTGAGGCTGACAGTCAAGACTAGCCAGCATGAATCCACTCCTTGTCAACTTGACAATCATATCTCCTTATGTCATGTTTGAGTTTTAAATGAAATCAATAACCAGGTCTTGTTTATGCCTCACATGATATACCTTTTCTATCCACAAACACACACATTATTTACTTAACCAGGTTAAAATTAGGCCTAGCATGCTATACCAATGCCTCCTGTCTATGCAAGCACATTCCAAATTTTAGAATAGGTGGCAATGGGTCTTGTGGAACATTATTTTAATATATCAAAATTTAAATGATAACCACTAATATTTCTCTTGTTTTGAGTCCATTGTAAAACCTTTCTCATTTTTAAGGTTATTTATTTATTTGTTTATTACAATTTATTCATGTGGTATCCCAGCTATAGTCCCTACCTGGTCCTCTCCAAATCCCATTCTCCCTTCCTCTTCTCCTCCCATGCCCCTCCCACAGTCCACTGATAGGGGAGGTCCCTCCCCCTTCCATTTGACCCTTGCCTATCAGGTCTCATCAGGTCTGGCTGCACTGTCTTCCTCTGTGACCTGGTAAGGTTGCTCTCTCCTCAGGGGGAGGTTAACAAAGAGCCAGCCACTGAGTTTAGTTCAGAGATAATCCCTGTCCTCCTTACTAGGGAACCCACTTGGACACTGAGCTGCCATGGGCTGCATCTTTGCAGGAGTTCTAGATTATCTCCATGTATGGTCCTTGGTTGGTGTATCAGTCTCAGAAAAGACTCCTGGGTCCAGATTTTTTGGTCCAATTAAAAACAAGGAAATCATGAAATTTGCAGGTAAATGGTAGGAACTAGAAAAGATCATCCTGAGTGAGGTATCCCAGAAGCAGAAAGACACACACGGTATATACTCACTTATAAGTGGATATTAGACATATAATATTGGATAAACATACTAAAATCTGTACACCTAAAGAAGCTAGGCAAGAAGGAAGACCCTGGGTAAGATTATCAATCCTTAATCAGAAAGGCAAACGGGACAGACATTGGAAGAGGGAGAAAACAGGCAACAGGGCAAGAGCTTACCACAGAGGCCTCTGAAAGACTCTACCCAGCAGGGTATCAAAGCAGATGCTGAGACTCATAGCCAAACTTTAGGCAGAGTGCAGGGAATCTTATAAAAGAAGGGGAAGATAGAAAGACCTGGAGGGGACAGGAGTTCCACAAGGAGAACAACAAAACCAAAAATCTGGGCATGGGGGTCTTTTCTGAGACTGATACTCTAACCAAAGACCATTCATGGAGGTTTTATAACCTAGAACCCCTACACAGATGTAGCCCATGGCAGCTCAGTGTCCAAGTGAGGTCCCTAGTAATGGGAACAGGTGCTGTCTCTGACATGAACTCAGTGGCTGGCTCTTTGATCACCTCCCCCTGAGCGGGGAGCAGCCTTACCAGGCCACAGAGGAAGACAAGGCAGCCAGTCCTGGTGAGACCTGATAGGCTAGAGTCAGATGGAAGGAGAGGAGGACCTCCCTTATCAGTAGACTTGAGGAGGGATTTGGGAGGAGATGAGGGAGGGAAGATAGGATTGGAAGGGGATGAGGGAGGGGTGCTACATCTGGGATACAAAGTGAATAAACTGTAATTAATAAAAAAAAAATAAAATTTAAAAAGCATACATATACCAGTTCTTTGGGCCCCAAATGACAAACTAAAATAGTATCTATCAGTCCAGTAAAGCAATCTCTCTCCCTGTCTCTCTGTCTCTCTGTCTCTCTCTCTCTGTCTCTCTCTCTCTCTCCTCCATTCCCCACTTCAATCTGATAACACTCAGGATGGCATCCACAAAGCATCCTTGAACAACAAACTTGCACATTCTCTCTTCAGTTCTCCGTGGCTTATAACATGAATGCTCCTTACTCAATAGCAGGCACATGCTGCACTGGGTCAAGAGATTTTGCTTAATGAGAAAACCTTGTCTTTCTGGCAATATAACCTTTTCACTCTTCACCCTGAGCACCAGCACCAACTTTTGGGGTCATAAACGTCTCGTAGGAACTAAGAAATTTGCGTTCACTATATACTTTGATGAGTTTCTGAAAATTGGTGTCTGGGAAGAAGACATTCAGCTTCATCTTGACACAGCCAAGACAAATCCATACTTTGAAGTTGAAACTTGCAGGGGCAGACGGAGTCCTCAGGAAGGGAGAGGCGAAGGTTGAGTTAATGATTGATCATTCCTATGTAGAGAAGCCTCCATGAAAATCTGTAAGTTACAGCTTTACAGGGCTTCCAGGTTGACATATACACTCGCGTCCTGGAGATGGTGTAAATCAATGTTATCAGATGGAACTTCCCGTGCTTGTGAACTGTCTTGATCTTACCCTTGGTACCTCTTTGTTTGGCTGTTCACCTGCATTCTTTGACACTACCCTTGTAAATGTGCATGAGAGTCTGGAAGCAGTCTAACAGAGTATTGAATTTAAGAAGGATCCTTATGGGAGCCTTTGATTTAGAGCAGCCTGGTTAGAAGCACAGGTTACAACCTGGGACTTGTGACCGGAACCTGAAATAGGAGACAGAGCCATTTTAACTTGTGAGATTTGATGCTGACCTTGTGTACCTGTTTCCAGAGTAGAATTAAATCACAGGATACCCACTTGGCATCATTAGTAAACACAAAAATTGCTCAGGGTGAGAAATCCATAATTTCATGCCCCAAGTGTTTTAAATGGGGTTCTAAAGGAAAACAGCTGTTTTACATTTATATGCCTTGGATACTTAACAATAATTGGAAAATGCATGTATAATAAGTAAGGTAGTGTCTCCAGAATAACAACACTGATTAATAGGTGAAAGAAAAAGGAGACTAGTAGCAACAACCAATCTCTGTCAAGATGCAATAAACTCACAAAGAACAGAGGACAGGTCAATCAAGACAGCTCCCTGTTGGTGATTGGTTGCTTGGTTGCTTTTGAAACAAGTGGCTCGGGCTAACCTTAAACTCAATTGTTCTACCTCATACTGCCAAGTATCCGGGATTATAAGAATATGCCATCCTGCCCAGATTTAAGTCACCATTCGCCTGACAAAAGGCCACAACAGAGGATATGTCTCCTAGCATATCACACTGGTAAGCAGAAGAGGCGATGAACAATGGATTTTACTCTGTTTGCATGTAGTGTGTTCCTCCACTTACAACCACCCTCAACGGAAATGAAACACTTCTAACATTCAATCAAACTGTAAACTTACCATTATATGTTGAATTCAAAATAAAGCCAAGTAATGCCACATCATTGGCACAGGGGCACTTTGTCACTATGATATCAATCACATGTGGATACAATTCCATGACGTGCGTTCTATTCATGATAGGTCCAAGACTCCACTGAAGAACAGGCTCTGTGGGAGACACATTTAGGTATGTAAGTCACGGAAGCCCTGTAGAAACTGGACCACTCCTTTCCTTTAAGGTTGAAAGAAAAACACATAAAAGAAATATTTGTCCAAAGAGGGTAGGGAATATAGTAGAAGTTGGGGAGATGGTTCAGCAGTTAAGAAGCTGACTGCTCTTTCAGAGGACCTGGGTTTGATTCCCAGCACCCACAGAGCCACTCAATATTGTCTGAAGCTCCAGTTCTAGGAGATCCAATGCTCTCTTATGGCCTCCCCGGACACCAGGCACACACCTGATGCACAGACATGCATACAAGCTAAATACCAATAAACATGAAAATATTATACATGGGTATAATAAGACCTTACACTTCATCAGTTAAAAATAAGTAAGTTTTTATTATGCAAAAAAGAAAGAATAAAATTGTCTTGGTAATACTCTGACAAGATTACACAGCTGAGGAACATTTCGGTTGGGAGACATTGCTTTAGCCATATAGGGCACACACATTGTCACATGGTCTGTGTTGAGGATTACAATAGCTGATACACAGAACAGGAATATTTGTAATTTAGGGATCTGCTTCTGCTTCAAAAGCATACATTTCCTTTTGCTCCTTTGTGCAATCCCAACCAAACAGCAGAAGATAAGTAAAAAGGAGAAGACAGCCAGAGTATAAGCAGAGAAAAGTGATGTTGTCATCAGTGAACAAGAGACTGAAGCTTCTAGGGAATTGGTAGACGTTGGGAGTAGATGAACAGAAAAAAGAAAAAAAAAAGCAATTCAATGTGAGATATTTTCACCTACAAAGGTGCATATCAGCACACGTGGTCAGGGTCTTTCCTGGGGAAAAGCATGTGTTCTGGGAGCTGTTGTTTTGTTTTTCGTTTTTGTTTTGTTTTGTTTTGTTTTTTTAATTCCTCTGCTTTCATTTTGCTAAGCTCTCGCTCATAAGTCTCTGCTTTTCACCATGTCTGTTCTCCCCTTTCTGAGAAGCATTACATGCAAGGCTAGAATGAGTAGGGCTCTCCCTGGGATCTCAGTGCAGCCCTGGCTTACAGTTAGAGGTTTAGTCCATTGTCACCGTGGGAAGCATGGCAGTGTGCAGGCGGACAGGATGCTGGAGAGCAGAGAGGTCACATCTTGATCCACAGGCAGCAGGGACAGACTGTGTCACTAGCTGTAGCTTGAACATATATAAGACCTCAAAGCCTGCCTCAGCAGTGATACACTTCTTCCAACAAGGCCACACCTCCTAACAGTGTCACTACTGGGGCCATACCTGTTCAAACCACCATATTCCACTCCCTGGTCCCCACAGGCTTGAAGCCATAACATAATGCAAAATTCATAGTTCCCCATAGTCTATCACGATCTCAACAATGCTTAAAAGTTCAAAGTTTTGGGCTGGAGGGATAGATGGCTTAGGGGTTAAGAGCACTGGCTGCTCTTCCAAAGGTCCTGAGTTCAATTCTCAGCAACCACATGGTGGCTCACAACATTCTATAATGAGATCTGGTGCCCCCTTTGGCGTGCAGGTGTATATGCAGGCACAACACTGTATACATAACAAATAAATCTTTTTTAATTTATTTATTTTTCATTAATTACCATTTATTCACTTTGTATCCCAGCTGTAGCCCCCTCCTTTATCCCCTCCCAATTCCACCCTCCATCCCTCATCTCCTCCCATGCTTAAGTCCACTGATACAGGAAGTCCTCCTCCCCTTCCCTCTGATCCTAGTCTATCAGGTCTCATCAGGAGTGGCTGCATTGTCTTCCTCTATGGCCTGGTAAGGCTGCTCCCCCCCTTAGGGGGAGGTGATCAAAGAGCCAGCCACTGAGTTCATGTCAGAGACAGTCTCTGTTCCCATTACTATGGAGGCCACTTGGACACTGAGCTGCCATGGGCTACATCTGTGTAGGGGTTCTAGCTTGTCTCCAAAAATGGTCCTTGTTTGGAGTATCAGTCTCAGAAAAGACCGCTGGGCCCAGATTTTTCAGTTCTGTTGCTCTCCTTGTGGAGTTCCTGTCCCCTTCGGGTCTTTCTATCTCCCTCTTCTTTCATAAGATTCCCTGCACTCTGCCCAAAGTTTGGCTATGAGTCTCAGCATCTGCTTTGATACCCTGCTGGGTAGAGTCTTTCAGAGGCCCTCTGTGGTAGGCTCCTGCCCTGTTGCCTGTTTTCTCCCTCTTCCAATGTCTGTCCTGTTTTCATTTCTGAATGAGGATTGATCATCTTACTCAGGGTCTTCCTTCTTGCTTAGCTTCTTTAGGTGTACAGATTTTAGTATGTTTTTCCTATATTTTATGTTAATATCCACTTATAAGTGAGTATATACCGTGTGTGTCTTTCTGCTTCTGGGATACCTCACTCAGGATGATCTTTTCTAGTTCCTACCATTTTGCCTGCAAATTTCATGATTTTCTACACCCATCAGAACAGCTAAGATCAAAAACTCAAGTGACAATACATGCTGGAGAGGATGTGGAGAAAGGGGAACCCTCCTCCATTGCTGGTGGGAATGTAAATTTGTACAACCAGTTTGGAAATCAATCTGGGGCTTTCTCAGACAATTAGGAATAGCGCTTCCTCAAGATCCAGCTACACCACTCCTAGGCATATATCCAAAATATGCTCAAGTACACAACAAGGACATTTGCTCAACCATGTTCATAGCAGCTTTATTCATAATAGCCAGAATCTGGAAACAACCCAGACATCCCTCAGTGGAGGAATGCATACAGAAATTGTGGTACATTTACACAATGGAATACTACTCAGCAATTTAAAATGATTTTTTAAAAAAAAAAATCATTCTCACTAAAAAAAAAAAAAGTTCAGAATTTCATCTGAGATTCATGCAATCTCTTAACTCTAATCCCCTATAAAATCAAAATCAAACCACATCACATTCTTACACCATAAAATGACACAGGATATGCATTCCCATAGGAAATGGAGCATAGTGGAAAACACCAGACCAAAGAAAGGTGGAAAGGCAGCTGGCCAAACTACAAACTCTCCATCCCCATGTCTGATATAAAAGGGCTCTTTAGATCTCGAACTCCTTTCAGCTTCCTTGACTACAACACACTTCTTTCTCTTGGGCTGGCTTCACTCCCTGTCAGCAGCTCTTTTGGCAGATATCTCATGGCTCTGGCTTCTCTAACCTCTTGGGGTCTCCAAGGCAATCCAGGCTTCATCTTCACAGCTACATATAATGGCATCTCTGGGCTTCCATGCAGGGACACCCTGCCACATGCCCCTCACCAACGACTTTCATCAGTAAAGGAAGGTCCCATAACCCCTTTCTTCTATCCTTGGCTCTAAAGCCAGAAGAACCACGTGGCTAAAGCTGCCAAGTTCTTCTGCTTGCTGGGACTGGATCATGGACCCATTGTTCAATTACATCTTCACCGGCTTTTTGGTTTTGATGGTTTCCTTCACTGCCCAAGCTTGGCTGTGTAGACCAGGCTTACCTTGAACTCAGAGATCTGTATGCCTTTGCCTCTTGAGTGCTGGGATGAAAAGTGTGTACCACCACACCTGGACATCAGCTTTTCTTTCATTCCTTTTTACAAAATGTAAGCTTAGATGGGTGGGATCTTGGCCCAACCTCACCACTCTCTGTATGCTATTTTACATCCAGCTTTCTTTAATCTGTTTACCTCCTTGAGCATGAGATTTAGCTTCACTCTTGTGCTCCTTTAATCCTTGAGTCATACATTTTGTATTTTTTTCTTTGCTCAGCTTGAGCCATTTAATCAAAATGTTCTTCATAAGCGTGAACCACAGTTTAGATGTTTTTAATGTTTTGTTATTCTGGCATAAACTCTAGAATGTGTTGATATTTTCTTTGCCAATGCAATTAATTTAAAGCTCTTCACCTTAACCTCAGGCAGACCCTTTAGACAAGGGCAAAAATACCAAAATACCACAAGAACAAGCTCTAGGGAACACACTAAAATTCTTTTCCTCTGCAACAACTTGAGCCAGGCTCCTGCAGTTCAGATCACACTTAGCAACAGTTTTCCATGCTTCTAATAGTATGGCCTATTAAGCCCGATCTAAAGCATGCCGCTGCTTCCCTAATCCAAAGCCTCAAATCCACATCCCTCCAGACAAAAGCATGGTCAGGCCTTTCACAGCAACACCCCTGTCTCAGGCAGGGTTTCATCACTGAAGAGATACCATGACCACGACCATTCTTATAAAGGAAACGTTTCATTGCAGCTGGCCTACAGCTTCAGAGGTTTAGTCCATTATCGTCATGGCGGGAAGCATGTTTGCAGTGTGCAGGCAGACATGGTGCTGGAGGAGCTGAGAGTTCTCCCTCTTGATTGGAAGGCAACAAGGAGAGACTGGGTCGCTGGGCATAGCTTGAGCATCTACACGACCTCAAAGCCTGACTCCACAGTGGCATACTTCTTCCAACAAGCCCACACCTACCCCAACAAGGCCATACCTCCTACTACTGGCACTCCTTATGGGCCAAGCATTCAAACAGACGAGTCAATAAATGTCAGGACTCTTCAAACCACCACAGCTCTGCAAAGTCTCTAACCCATCATCTGCCATGTCTCCACTACTGAGACCCTTCAATTGTCCTGATTAAAGAACAATTCTGTTTCTTAGAAACAAAGACTAGAGACGGTGATTAAGTTTGACTGCTCTAAAGTAAAAGAGAGCAATGTAACCAGTGTGAAGGCCACTGTTAACCTATGATTAAAGCAGTTTCTGTGCAGGATGGCAGACTTTAATGCATATCATAGGGTCTGTTACAGTCTGTATTAGATATGAAACAGTGCAGATAGGATTTTTAAGCATCTCTCTTGAGCTCAGTAGTGAATAAAAGCTTAGAGCCACACCCTCACTTTTCTCTTTGGCTTTCTCCTTGGCTCTCACTTCCTGTGCTGCCCCTCAGATCTCTAACTTCCAGCAACTGACACTGCTCTACTTGATTGCTCCATGAGAAGTAGAGGATTCACCCTAGGCGTTCCCACTTCACTCAGCCCTGGCCATCAGGGATCCCAGCTGCTCTGCTCGCAACGTGTACGCTTTGGGCTGCTCCTGCTCAGCAGCTGCACTGCTTGCGCCTCAGCCTGAGGATGACAGACAGCTCTTGACTGTGCTGACTCAGCAGTGTTAGTCAAGGCCTTTACTCCTGCCGCCCTTCCTTCCCGGAGAGTCAGGTCTACCACTGCGCTTCTTCTAAAGCACAAGTCAGAATGTCTCCCTCCCGCTCAGGGTACTCAGTTTATGCGGTTTTCCTCTAGCTAGTAAAAAGCCCACAATTTTCTCCACAATCCCTGCCAGCCTTTACACATTCAGGACACACCAACCATGCCGTCATGTTCCTGCTTCAGCAAGGAAGAGTCCTCTCAGCTGAAACAGACCAATCCTGTTTCTGCAAACTGTCATCGTGCTTCTGTACTGTCTCAACAACGGTGAGCATGAAATGTTAACAGTATATCTCAATATGTGAGATTTCAGAGTTCCTAACATTTGAAGTGATTCTTAGATTGCTATTTTAATGCTTAAAAGTAGCATATGTTAGCCAAGTATCAGAATCCTAAAGCCGGTACTGCAATTATCATTGAATTTGTCTATTCCTAAATTTTAGAAACCATGAAAGAAGTAAACAAGGTACAATATTTTGTCAGTTTACTCTTAAATATTTTTTCTGTTTTTTAAGGTCTGCATAATCAAATCCAGGACTGAAAAATGCTAGGTAAGCCTTCAACCACATACTCATATATTTATGAGTATATATAAAAGGATATATATATATATATATATCTTTTTTGTGCTTTTTTCTTTTTATTATTGTCATTTATTACAATTTATTCAATTTGTATCCCAGATGTGGCCCCCCTCCCCCATCTCCTCCCAATCCCACCCTCCCTCCCTTGTCTCCCCCAATGCACCTCTCCTAGTCCACTGAAAGGGGAGGCCCTCCTTCCTTTCCATCTGACCCTAGCTTATCAGGTCTCATCAGGACTGGTTGCATTGTCTTCCTCTGTGGCCTGGCAAGGCTTCAGCCCCCAGGGGTAGGAGATCAGAGAGCCTGCCACTAAGTTTATGTCAGAGACAACCCCTGCTCCTCTTACTAGGGCACCCACTTGGAGACTGAGTCTATGCATTACATCTGAGCAGAGATTTTAGGTCCTCTCCATGCATGGTCCTTGGTTGGGGTATCAGTGCTGCAGGTCCCCAGAACCTAGATTTTTTTTTTGGCTCTGTTGGTCTCCTTTTGGAGCTCCTATTCCCTCCAGTCTTTCTATCTCCTCCTTCTTTCATAAAATTCCATGTGTTCTGCCCAAAATTTGGCTGTGAGTCTCAGCCTCTGCTTCGATACATCAATCAGTAGTCTTTCAGAGGCCCTCCTGTTCTGTTGGCATATATTTTAATTTTTGTTAAGCAAATAAAAATAATCACATGGGGCTCAAAGTTGATGCTGGATGTTTTCTTTAATGGCTCCTCAATTACTTATTGGGGCAAGATCTCTTACCAAACCTGGAGCTCAGGTCCTGGCTGTTCTAGCTAGCTAGCTTGCCCTTCCACTCCTACAATATCCTCCATCTTTGTCTCCCAAGTTTAATTAATTAAGGGCAATTGCCACATCTGCTCAGATTTCATGGGATTCTTGTGAATCTGAACTCCAGTCCTCAAACTTTTGTAGCAAGTGCTTTATAGACTGAACAATCTCCCAGATTCTTACCCACTATACTTTGCACCTTGATTATTTCACTCAGCATCTCCGTTCAGTTCCCTGGTGTTTGTTTATTTCCTCACTTTAATGGCATCTACCTGTATGCTTTTGTTCCTCTCCTTATTTATAGACTCTAATGTTGTTTCCAGCTCATTCTTATCACAAACAATACTGCATTAAAAAAGGCGAATGGGTCTCAGGCATAGTCATGACTCTCCTTCACCTAGAATCACTCTCAGTTCTCACTGGATTTCATAACAATAGTGGAAAACAGTTGTGAGGCTTATCTATAGAGACAGATTTTGATTTGTGTATAGCATATAACGTTGGCTAGTGATAATTTGTTACTTTTTATAAGGCTACCCAAGCATTTCTTCCATAAAATGCAATTTTTATTTATTTTTAATCTGCAGTCTACATACAATTATATTGGACTGGTATTAACAACAGGAAAAAAGAAGGTAAGTTTATAAAAGAGATAGAATTTGAGGAATTAATACTATCAGGGCCAGGTACAGTGACACACACTTCTAATCCCAGTGGTTTAGGTCAGAGGCAGGTGGATTCCTGTGAGTTGGAGGCAAGATATCTCTACATGGCACATTCCAGGACAGCCAGAGCTATACAGTGAGATCACATCTCAGAAAAATATTAAGTAATTAATTTCTTGCCCGCCAATGGAAAAACAGAGCTTAAGCATTCATAACTAGCCATGAGCTTAAAGCAGCTAACTTTCTCAAAAGATTTGTTATTCATTTATTGTATGTGCACTGGTATTCTGCCTGCATATATGTCTGCATGAGGATATCAGGGCCCCTGGATCTAGGGTTACAGACAGCTCCGAGCCGCCATGCGGGTGCTGGGAATTGAACCTGGGTCCTCGGGAAGAACAGCCAGTGATCTTAACCACTGAGCCACCTCTCCAGCCCCTAAAACAGGTAATCTTTGTTAATAGAAATCAGTTGTTACACTGGTCGTGGTGGCGCCTGACACTTGGGAGGCTGAGGCAAGAGGGTGTAAATTCACGCCAGGCTGAGCTCCATAATCTAGAGAAAACACAGCAAGAACAAAACACTGCAATGTGCAGGTGATACAGCTCAGTGCTAAAGCACTTGCTGGCAATGCTTAGGTCTCACAGGCCTAGGTTTAACCCTAAGTACTGCAAAAAAACAAAACAAAACAAAACAAACAAACCACCTAAAGGCACAAACGTATTTTTAAAAAATACTATGATGCAATGAACAGTACCTAAGATTCAGATCAAAGATGTGTGTATGTATGTATGTGTGTATGTATATATGTGTGTATGCATGTATTGTGTAAGTATGTATTGTATATGTGTGTATGTACGTATGTACGTATGTATGTATGTATGTATGTATGTATGTATGTATGTGTGTGTGTGTGTGTGTATGCGTGTGTATATGTATCCAGGTTCAGTTCCCAGCAACTACATGGTGTCTCACAGCTATCTCTAACTCCAGCTCCAGGGGTTCCAATACCTTCTTCTGCAGTCTGTGAGCTCTCTACATGGTACATGTTCATAATGTGTACACAACATACTCACACACATAAAATAAAAAATACTAAAAATCATATGTCACTAGCACAGTAAAAAGGTTATTCAAAGGGGATTCATCCCAGTTATATGTGTGTATAAACATATCTATAAAAATTTGAACATATATTCAAATATAGCTTATTTGATGTCTATTTATATATGCATGTATTTCCCTGCTTGCACCGTGAGGCTGTGATCCTGGCCTGGGACAAAGAGCATGTGATTCCAATCTACTTTATAAACTGATGTTTACCTCGGACAAGATCCAGTAGGGTACCTTCAGTATCATAAATGTTTAATCCTTCATGCATTGTAATCTTTATTATCCATTGTTCTACAGCTGCGATGTCTAAAATTGAAGATAAATAACTTTTTAATATGTCATATTGGTGAAATTGGAAGCTATATGAACATTACCAACAATGATGCCTTCACTTTTACAATCATTTTGACTACATCTATGTGTCAGATTTCATATATTTTTCTGCAAACATTTTTTTCTGGTAAAATAATGAGAAAGAATTATAAAATGATTTTACTACCACAGCAATGTATCTTAATGCTAATGGGTTTAGATCATAACTTCCCTCTTACAACTATAGTAAAGAAAAAGAGAATCACAAACCTTTTGTGAGGCACAATAATATTATTTTAAAGTGCCTGTCAAAGAAAAGCACAGGACCTGTGGGGGTGACAATTCTGAGTTTGACCAGAGGCGAGAAAGAATTAACAGCATTTCTCATGAAACTAGTCCCCATAAATGAGGAAGAAGGAATACTTCTTTTTATTTTATTTTATTTTTTTCTTATCAATTACATTTTATTAACTCTGTATCCCAGCTGTATCCCGCTCCCTCATTCCCTCCCAATCCCACCCTCCCTCCCTCATCTCCACCGTGCCCCTTTCCAAGTCCACTGATAGCGGGGGACCTCCTCCCCATTCATCCAATCCTGTTTTATCAGATAATCAAGAGAGCGGACATGGGGTAAGATGATCAATCCTCGTTTAGAAAGACAGATGGGATGTGCATTGAACGTATGACAGGAGTCTACTGAGCGTATCTGAAAGACTCTAACTAGCAGTGTTTTCAAAGCAGATACAAAGACTCATGACCAAACCTTCAGCAGAGTACAGGGAATCATATGAAAGAAGTGGAGTTAGTATGATGGGGAAAGGATAGGAGCTCCACAAGGACCAAATATATCTGGGCACAGGGTCTTTTCTGAGACTGACATTCAACCAAGGACCATGTGTGGATATAACCTAGAACCTCTGCTCAGAAGTAGCCTGTGGTAGCTCAGTAACCAATTGGTTTCCCATAGTGAGGGGAACAAGTACTATTTCTAACAGGATCTCAATGACTGGCTCTTTGACCTCCCCACCCTCCAAGGGAGGAGCAGTCCTGTTAAGCCACAGAGGAGGGCTTTGCAGCCAGTCCTGAAGATACCTGATAAAACAGAAGGAATACTTCTAACCACCTCACACAAGCCAGTTTTACCTGATATCAAACCATGAAACGGCAGACCATAAACGGAAATCTCCAGCCAGCATTCCTGATGACCCTTAAGACAAAATATCCTCAGACAGAGACTACCATAGTGGGAGCTGAAGAGATTGCTCAGTGGTCAAGAGCATTAGCTGCTCTTCTAGAGAAGATCCCTTCCCAGCAGCAAAATGGCCAACACAGCCATCTGTGTATCTGGAGGGCATGAAAGTAGAAGTAAGACTGCCTCAGGGAAAGGTGGGAGGAAGGGAAGCAAAAAGGGGGGCGTAGCAGTGTGTGGATAATGTTCTCCAAATTATCATCTGCTTTCATCGAGGTGGCCTTAATAAGTAACACAGTGGAACAGGATTAAAAACTAAAAATTGTTATATGCAGTTCAAATTCCAAACTCCTTTACACCACTCTGTAGCATCGCTCAATCTCGGTATGACTTTCCTGGGACTCAGTTAACACATGGGGAAATGAATGACAGGGTATATAGCATGCATTTCCTACAGTGAGGAATAAATGAGTTAATACAGAAAGGGATTTAGAACAATGTGGAGACATGAGAATCCTGCCTGCCTGTTGTAATCATGATGACTCTTGACTAAGGTTTTACATTTACAGATCCCAGTCCGCTTAAGAAGATCCCACTTTTGGCTTTTATGCTTTATGATATTGTGAAAGTCATGTGAATTTCGTAGAAATACTTCAAATTCTGAATTTATTTCTTTTCCGTAGTTATGATGGGGTAAGATGAGCTCTTGTGAGGAAGGACAGTGAGCTATTAGCTACACAACAACAGAGACAATTGTGCTCCCAAGCTACGGATACACAAGAGAAGAAGTCATTGCCAATGTTGTGCCTAGAGTAACAATAAAATTCAATCTGTCTAACAATGAAGAAAGAATTTAGAGGTCTAAATTAGAAATATAAGCTCCCTTTGAAAACAATCACCAACATAGGTTGTTTCTAAAAATAATCTCTGAGTGTGTGTGCACAGATATTTGTATGTAAGTATGTATGTATGTATGTATGTATGTATGCACTTTTCTTAGAGTGTGGGGGAAGTCAGAGGACAGTCGTGGGCATCAGTCCTTGACTTCCACATTGCTTGAAACACCATGTACGCCTGAGACTGCGTAGGCCATGGAAGTGTTTGGGAGTCTCCTGTCTCTGCTCACATCTCCATAGAGACACTGGGGTTACTGGTCATGCTACAAAGCTGAGCTTTACATGGCTCCTGGGGAGCTGAACTCTGCTCCTCATGTCTGTTAGGAAGTACTTTCCTCATGGAGTCATCTTTTCAGTGAGACGAATAAAGGGTAAAGATACTGATACAACCTCTGTCACTGCTCACAGCTCTACAGCTTCTGCTGTGTAGGGTCTTTATCTCTGGCATTTCCTTGGCTATCACTTCTGCTCTCTCTTCACCTTCCTGCGCCTTCCTTTAGCAGGGCACACTATTACCCATAGCCACAGAAGTTCTTCTGCACAAGTCCCTGTCCCACTCTCCCAGGGCTCCCCTGCCTGCATATTTTATGGCACACGAGTAAAATGTCAGACCAATAATGAGTGAACTGATGATAGTCTCTGGCGAATCTGGGATTGGGACGGCCTCTAGGAAAAATAAAGATTCAAAACTACTAAGTTGGCTTTAGAAATCCAGGCTTTGAAGACAGAAAACAGAGGGAAGAATGACGAGGTGAAACTTTCCCTGGGTTCTTGATGGTTTTTTTTATTTAATAATTCATTTTTAATAATGTGTTTGTGTTTTTGTTGTTGTTTTCTACAACTAAAAGAAATATCTTAACCAGGTGTGATGGTGCTGGTCTTTAATTCTAGTCCTTGGAAGGCAGATGAAAGCACACGTGTGTGAGTTACAGGCCAGCCAGGGTTAAATAGTGAGACTGTCTCAGAAAAGTAGATAAAAGAAAAGAAATTTAAAATGGGAAAATGAGGCATGCTTTACTGGGGAGTGTGAAGGAAGGGCAATACAGAGAGGAAGAGGAAAAGGAAGGATAGATAAAGAAAAGGGCATGTTTTAAAAGCCATAGGAATCAAATTATTTTATATTTACCTTATGTGCATACAACATGCATACACACAAAGAGTTATTCTGTTTGGGGTGATAAAGTGATTATGGACCCCCATAAGCCACAGACTAACAAAAACTTTAGAATCAGGCTTGAGAAACTTCCTCTTGAATTTTTGTTATTCAGGGAAGTCTAAGTAACTCCTCACACAATATAGACCATTGCAGTCGCCCTTGCTTGTCTCTCAGAATCTATTTCTGAAGACACCACACATACTTTGGTAATGGAACTTGGCAGAATCAAACTGAATCTGATCCACAGTTTCCTTCTTGAAGTCTAGCCTTCACAGGAAGGAGCTATGCAAACTGCTAAAAGAGAATGCCAATTAATAATCCTACTGAGTTGTGATGCCTACAAACCACAACAATGACCAGCACAGCAAGATATCCCTAGAGACATGTGGTCTCAGGGACAGTGACCATTGGAGACCACCAGCAAAGATGAGGTCTGTTCTGTGACCACCTCACACCAACTCCATGGTCCCAGCTCAACCTGTGGCCTCAGGAATAGCAGCCATTGGAGACTGCCAACAGAGGAAAAATCTGCCACAGCCCTCTGGCCACTAGTTCCTAGAAGCTTGCTAAGCCTGCAGTTCCAGGGATAGAAGCAACAAGAGACTACCAACAGAGGTGAAAACTGCCCTTGAACCCTCTGAGCCTGTACACCAAATCAGCCTGTGGTCTCAGGAACAGCGGCCAGTGGAGACCACCAGCAAAGGAGAGGTCTGTTCCATGACCTCAGCGCACCAATTCCAGGGCACCAGCTGAGCCTGTGGTCTCAAGGACATCAGCCTCTGGAGACTGCCAGCAGATGTGAGGTCTGTCCCGTGACCTCCACACACCAACTCCTGGGCAGTCAGCTCTGCCTGCAGTCCCAGGGACAGTGACTATTGGAGAGTGCCAACAGAGAGGAGGAAGACATCAGCAACTAACAAAGGTGACAGACATCAGGACTACCAGGGACCTCCAAGCCTGCCAATACCAGGGACAGCTAGATGTGCAGAGGACAGTGTAAGAATAAACTCAACAAAACCCAGGGCAATACAGCACCACCAGAACCAAACTATCCTCCTACAACAAACTATCCTCCTACAACAAACCCTGGATATCCTAACAAACCTGGAAGCTCAGGAAAACAAACTTAAATCTAATCTCATAAAGATGATAGAGGCCTTTAAACAGGAAATGAATACCAGCAAAGGAGAGGTCTTAATTTCCCTCAAAGAAATTAAGGAAAATACAAACAGTTTTAAAAAATAAATAAATCCCTTAAAGAAATACAGGAAAGTACAAGCAAACAGGAGAAGGAAGTGAATAAAAGTGTTCAAGACCTAAAAAGGAAATAGAAGCAATAAAGAAAGCACAGTTGAGGCAATCCTGAAAATGTAAAACCTAGGAAAGGGGACAGAAACTACAGATGTGAGCATCACCAACAGACTACAGTAGATGGAAGAAAGAATCGCAGGCATAGAAGATACGATAAGAGAAATCGATACATCAGTCAAAGAAAATGGTAAATTTAAAAAGTTTCTAACATAAAACATCAAGGAAATTTGGGACATCATAAAAAGAGTAAACATAAAAATAGTAGAAAGAGAAGAAGGAGAAGATACCCAGCTCCAAGGCCCAGAAAATATCTTCAACAAAATCATAGAAGAAATTTTCCCTAACCTAAAGAAAGAGATGCCTGTAAACGTACAAAAAGGCTACAGAACACCAATTAGATTGGACCAAAAAAGAAAATCCTACTGCCGAATAATAATAAAAA